ATATGTTTGTGTGATTGAGTCTGTGTGCATGTTAGCTGTCGCTTTATCCCAGTATATTTTCATGCACAGAAGTGTGACTGGAAAGTGGTTATTAGGCATTGCAGAGCACTGGTCACCTGCCAGGCTAAAGAAGATGGGTACTGTTATTGTTCTGCAATAACAGACTGCTCACAGTGACTCTAGTACTATCTGACAAGTCTCAAATGTTAACCCTTGGACATAAGCTTAACTTAGACTAAATTGCTGTTAGCGGGGATAAACCTCATTTCTTGTTTTCCCCCATACAAATAAGGAATAGTGGCGAGATTACACAGTGAGGGCTTTAATATTTGAATCAGGTCTTCCACTCGTCTCACATTAATTGTTTGTCCTGTATAGATTAGTGTGTTTGTGCGTGCGTTTTAAGGCATCTCTAAAGGGTAATGAAATGTTTATAGTTTGTGTCACTGATACCCAGCCCAAAGAATGTAATGGTGTTTTAAAGAGACTAATGGATGTTGTAACTGTGCGCCTGTTTGACAGGCTTTATGATGAAGGAAATGGAGGGGTGTGAACGAAACTCACAATTCACTGCAAGAATCCAGAACTTACAATCTGAATTTCAGTCTATTGTAAAAGAACCTCTGAATGTTTCACCATTACAGACTTTATTGGTTTGCAGCAATATGTTTCTGACAACATCTTGGTTGGGAAAAGGGTTCAAAATCTCTTCAAAGTTGAGGTCTAGGATATTTGATATGGGACGCCATTGACAAGACGGCGAGCTCCCCCTTCCACACAGATACACAGGTCACCTTTCCACTACACCGTTTGGTTCTAAACAGTTCTAGATCTAGTATAATACTGTACACATACACAAAGTTAAAAACACCAGTATTCAGTGTAAAAACGGTGCTATGCTAACCTGTACTGTATGTATTTCTATCCCTTCTTCTGCTCTTGAACTGTGCTCCTTTATCTACCCCAAAGTCAGATGTAATCAATATTTTGAAGCAAAATGTTTGCTAACATTATTATTATAATCCCCTCTTCTCCCATCTTGGTCAATTTGAAAATAAAAACAGTTGCAAATATTAAATGTGACATGTGTGTTGTACTCAGTTTTTAAGCCAGTGATGGCCTTCCTTTTGACCCACAGTAAAGTACACTTATTGCCGGTCGTTTACCTTCACATGCATATGAACTTCTTAATCCATAAGGTTTAAATATGATGTCGGCCCACCCTTTGCAGCTCTAATAGCTTCATGTCTTCTGGAAAGGCTTTTTACAAGGTTTAGGAGTTCGTCTATGGGAATTTTTGGCCTTTCTTTCAGAAGTGCATTTATGAGGTCAGAAAATGAATGTTGAATGAGAAGACCTGGCTCACAGTCTGTTCTAATTCATCCCAAAGGTGATCTATAGAGTTGAGGTCAGGACTCAGGCCAGTCAAGTTCTTCCACACCAAACTCACACATCCATGTCTATATAGACCTCTGCTTTGTGCAAAGCTGTGCAGTCATGTTGGAATAGGAAGGGGTCACTCCCAAGCTGTTCCCACAAAGTTGGGACCAAGATGTCCAAAATTTCTTGGTATTCTCAAGCATTAAGAGTTCATTTCACTGAAACCAAGGGGTTGAGCCCAACTCCTAACCCCCCCCCCCCTTCTCCTCAAAAAAAACCCCATCCCACAATTGGCAAATTGCACTGAGACAAGTACCATTCTCCTGGCAACTGCCAAGCCCAGACTTGGTCATCAGATTACTAGATGGAGAAGCATGAATCCCCCAGAGAACACGTCTGCACTTGTTTAGAGTTCAGTGGCGCCGTGCTATACTGTGATTTTATGCGATCTACCACTTCATAGCTGAGTTGGTCTTGTTCCCAATCGCTTCCACTTTGCTATAACACCACTAATAGCTGGAATATTTAGTAGTGAGGAAATTTCACCACTGGAGTTGTTGCACAGAGTTGCTGGAATTCACTGAGCTCCTAAGGTGACCCATTCATTCACAAATGTTTGTACAAGCTGTCTGCATGCCTAGGTGCTTCATTCTTTACACTTGTGGCCATGCAAGTGACTGAAAGACCTGAAGTCAGTATGGGTGAGTGAATACTTTTGACAACATAGTGTATCTGGCTGGCAATCCTAGTGCCCATCTGAGGTTCACATTAGAAGTTTGACTGAAAAGTGCTATTACTCCTACAGTAATTGCTGCCATTAAAATGCATCCATGGAACAGGGGTGGCAACCTTTCATCAAGAAGCATCATGCGACACATGATGGTTGGGCCATGTTGGCAACCTGAGGCAACATTTCACAAGAGTTTCTTTTACGACTCCATGTTGTTTCACAGAAAACAATAAAAGACTTATTGCAGTTAGTTTGACCATCACAGGTACATTCTTTATTATTACAAGTCAACCAACTGTATCAAAACTGCAAGAACCCGAAAGCCAGAGTGCAGAAACATTTTTCTGCTCTCTCACCAATAACTGTCACAAACAAATGCATTCACTTAAAAAAAAAAGTCTAAAGGCACATCTCTAAGATATTTACATTGCATACAGGTTTGACATACAGTAAAAAGCACACAATCAGTCCTAAATCCTTGGCCACACTGGCTTTGCTAAAGAGACTAAAGTTATCCATAAAAACATACAGCAATTGTTGTTTATAAGTCACAGTTTTCAAAGCTACAATGCACAGGTGGAAATTCGTGTTTATGTAACTTTTATGGCTTTATCTTTTTCATTAGGAATTATCGCTTGCATGCCACTCTGCTATGGCTTCTCTTCTTCTTTTTGTTTCCTCTTCAAAGACACTTTGTACTACCTTAGAGAAACGTGTTCATTTAAAGGCCTGCTGAAAACAAGTTTTAAGGTTTTAGGATTTGACATTTTGGGAAAATATTTTTGCTGAGTGACATAAGAACAATTAACCTTTCCAACATCCAGTCTGCCCTCATAGGCAGAACTTTTTAAGCAAGATGTCTGGATTGAAAGGCTATGCCTCCTAAACACAGCAGCGACACAGGGCAGTGTGCTCCTCACGCTTCTCCTATACTCCCTTTTCATGACATGTTCCCCATTTCAACCCTCCAGCGCCACCACGGGCGATTTCATGACGTCAGTGATGCACTGTCAACCATGGAAGAACCCTGAGACCTATTCTTGGGTTTGTGAAAGAAGGAAAGGAAATGGGTCAGACGGGCTCGGCACGTGTGTAGCCAGCGGATGGGGCAGCATGTGATTGATGGAATACCTTAAACAATGGCAGTGTCCTGGTTTCTAAATCATATGATTCCTACATTACTCTGTAATGCAGAGGTATTTCAGGATAGGCAGAGGGTATGTAGGAACTTCAGGAAGGATACAAATGATGCTCACGCACAAGCAGCAAAAACTCCTGGAAGGATCTTTGTCAGAGTTCTTCAGGCACCGAGCCACTCTGGGTTGGCAGTGTTGCTCTGAATGACCTCATCTCTCCCCAGTGAGTTCAACAGCAGAATCAACCTCCTCTAGAAAAACAAGAATCTTTCCCTCACCGAAGTCCAGCAGGATTTTGTCAAAAATCTTCTTCAATCCCAACATTCCTCCACAAGATTAAGCTTTTCAAGCGCCATCACAGTGCAGCTACCATGTCTCATAAGAAGGATCTGCCCCAAGTCACCACTGAATACCAGCTAGAAGCCACCGAATAGCTTCTGTACAATCTGGTGCCTCTAATGTGCAAAAATCCATTACTGAGACTTCATTAACTACCATGGCAACTTCTAATGAGTGCTGCAGTGCCATCATCTTTGCTCACATAGCATTGGAGTCACAGAGAATGAGAAGGCACTTCTAATGGTAGCCTTTAATATAAGCTCTATCATTTTAGTCTAATCTTAATGGCAGAGATGGCGTCAGCCAACCAAACACATAGTAGGATCTTGTTTTAAGTTCCTTCCTCCAGGAATTCTGATCAAATGGATGCTTTTTTTAGGCATATATCACAATTATATATCAGTCCAGACTAGAATTAGCAAATGTGTGGACTAGTTTTTCAGCATCCCTCTAAGGCAGAGTCTCCTAACTTTGACAATCTTGTGCAGATTAGAGAAGGCACTCCTAAACATTTCTTCAATGTCTGTGTTAAAATATCTATCTTAGATCTTCACATTAATAATGAAGGCCAAAGTGATGCCATCCAAAGCAAGTATCTGGTTAGATGCCTTGTTTCTTGGGCCAAACCCTTACAGGCCTTAACGTCTTTAAGACAAACTTGTAGTTCAACTGATTGGTTTTATCGGCTTTCACTGGTAAATACTGATAGACAGCAATAAAGAACATATGGAGACGAGTTAAAGACTGCACAGACTGATAATTTTGTATGAACCACACCATTCAACACCTACAACAGCAGTATGGTGACAGTTACGTAAGCACAACTCAAAGCTGTACACTCTAAAAAGGCAAAACTACCACAGGCATGCAGCTCAGGGGCTATTCTACTATCTTACATATCTTTTACTCAATGTTTAGCAACTGCACAAGTGTCCAAGCTTTAGAAATGCTGGTGTGCAGATTTTGTTACCATTGGACCAAGCCAGACAAGCTGATTACCTGTGTATTGTGTCTCCTAAACTAGAAACTACAGTTTTTAAGCTTTACTTCCTCATTTGCATGCGGCGACACGAGGATGGTATAATTCTTCTCATCTATCTCTCAACAAGAAAGTCCCAAAATGTCAAAAATATTTCTATGAAATGGCAGACAAGTCCGATACAAAGAGGTCCTCTAGTCACAGCATCAACTCTGTTTATTTATTTATCAGTTCACTATCATCTCCCCTGTGCAGGTATGTACATGTACTGGCAGCCTTTTGTTTTCTCCAAAGCATCTTAAGATGTAATCTAAGGCTGAATGTGAGCCAAGACTCTTCCCACTGCTGATGGGTGATGTATCTGATGGCCGGTTAGTGCTGAGGTCTGCTTTATTTAGACGTGCACCTGAAATACCTACCATGGAGATCAATATTGCAAGGGCAAGAGTAGATAGAGGCTGAGAGCCAAGTGCAGCCCTCAATATGTACAATATCTATATGTGTGTGTGTTTCTGTATGTGTGAGTGTGTGTGTGTATGGAAGATGCAGGAAGGCCAGCATTTGAGAGTTTGTTTAAAATGATCAGCTGTTAGTTGTAGTAGAGTGGAGTGTAGTTTGTGTGGTATGAGGTGAGGAAGGTCAGGAAGGTGGGGATTTATGTATGTGTCCAATTGGTGTGTCAGACATAGTCCAGGAAGACGTCAGCTGTGTTCTGCAGTAAAGGTTGGTTGGGGGCTGTTGTGCTGCAGACTGAGCTCAGTCTCCGTGATGGCGCCCTCTGCTGCTCTGGAGGACCTGAAGCATTACTCAGGGTCAGGTACACCTGAGGAGTAACACAGACTTGTGTTTTACGAAAGAAAGAAAGAAAAAAAGAAAAAAAATATATAACATAATTTTTGTGCTTTGGAGACAAAATGTAGGGAAATGAGTGAAAAACAAAAAAGACAGATTACAAAAGTAAGACTAAGAGTCGTTCTTGCACTCACATTCTTGGTATTTTCTGACAGCAGCAGCTCTGTTTTCTCCACCAGCTTTTTGAAGGAAGGCCTTTTCAGAGGATCGTGGTTCCAGCAGGACAGCATCATGTCATACCTACACCGCAGGTCACACTGGCATTAGTTTATATGTCTGGGATACAGAGAAACAGCCAGAACACAAAAACAATCTAGCTAATAATTATACATCTAAACTACAGGCTGACAGGTTCATAGCCTGTAACAGCTCATATTACATCAGTCACGTTGTAGAAAATGACTTTAGTCATGGATATAAGGCAGCATCGAACAAATAATAACATATTTGGCTTTTACACCTTAACTGCTGCTGATTTAGTTCAAGTACCCACTGATGGAAAACAACATATAAATTAGATCCAAATAATTGATTTAAATAACTGATCATGTAAAATTATAATAAAAGAAGTCCAGGTTATAAATAAAAACAAAGAATTATTAATTGATCACCACAAAACAGAGTGATAATTTGTTTTGAATAAAACAGTTCTCTGCTTTTAGCTTCTACACTGTTGGTGTTGTTGGTTCTGCCCTGCTTATATCATCAAAGAAAAAGGTTGGGATGAAGTAAGTGCTTGACCAAGGCCTAAAACACATATTTTATTAATTGAAAAAATAATCTGTTTATCACCTGATAGTAAAAAAAAAAAAACACACGACTTCCTGCAACCTTTGTGATGGCAGTATATGAAACAGACTCATTCTCACAAGCATGCACTTACATCTCAGCGGGGGCATACTCAGGCCTGCTCATCCTGTGGCCTTCCTGAATCATCCTATAAAATGCAGATCCCACCTGCATCCCAGGGTACGGGCTGTTACCTGCAACAACAACTTTACATCATTTTTAAAGGAAAAAAATATTGATTTGCACGGTACTGTTGGCTTCTCAATCAATACCACTTTGCGTGCGTGCCCTAAGCTATGTTGCTGCTTGTGAGCATTAATAAGCCTGTACTAAAGCCCCCAGTCAAATGGATGACAATGATGATTTGAAACAGTAAAAGGAAAGTAAAGCATAAAATGGAAATGTTACCGAGGGAGAATATTTCCCAGAGCAGGATGCCGTAGGACCACACGTCACTCTCAATCGTGTAGACGCAGTCAAAAATACTCTCAGGTGACATCCACTTGACCGGCAGACGAGCCTGAAGGAGGGAGAGAGCCATGAACTCGTGTCCTCATTTATAAGAATATAATATAGCCCATCAAAAAGAATCTAAATTTTCAGTGGGAAAAAAGTTATATGAAAGTTTTATAAAATACAATTCAATAAATAATGCCTTCGTGTACAAAATGAACAGAACTTTCTTCTTGTTTGGCCAGTGTAACTGCAAACTTTTCATCTTTTCCTTTTTAGCTTGCTGTCCAACTTTCTTCACAAAAATTCTACATGTATTGTTTCATAGAGCAGTTCAGACTCAGTAAAGAGAAGCGAGCGTGGGAGTTTTCCTGTCTTGATTTGCGGAGACGGAGCGGGAACAAAGAACAAAGGAGGAGGGAGCGAAAGACTGACAGACGGAAAGACAGACTCACGTTTCCACGGAGCACATAGCTGGCATCGGTGGTGATGTCTCGTGCCAAGCCAAAGTCGCAGATCTTCGCCACCCTGCCGTGAGTCAGCAGAATGTTTCTAGCTGCAAGATCCCTGTGGATGCACTGCGCACACAAACGCAGCAGCAGAAACAAACACAGCGATGAGCATTGACACAGCAACCGGTTTCTGCAGTGAATGACAGGGCACGCTTACAAAGGAGGCGAGGCCGGTAAAGCTTGTGGCAAACACAAAAGGCGAACTGACGTGTTTACAAAAGAAGAAGAAGTAGAAGAAGGAGAAACAATGACTCAATATGACCAAACAAAATTCAAGAAAGCATGTGTGGGTAAACGGGTGCCACGTTTTACACGATCATTCTAAACAGTTAATTTTGTCTTATTTAAGAGTTTAACTGGTTAATAAAACGGTTTTAAGATTGCATCGTAGAGGGAAGTAAAACACTTTTTTTCATCTTTATGTTACAAAGAGAAAGTGTCACCAGCTTGGGCTCTCTGTTGGCCTGCCACCAGTTTGTGTCTGTGAGAAACGAATCAGCTGTGGCGAAAGACACCGTTAAAGCTGTGTTTGAGCACAGTTTCTTTACACAACAAAAGGGGAATTGTGTTATTATGATCATAATTTTAAAAAAGCTGGGCTGCTATGTAAAAACAAAATGCATGCATTTGCAAATCTCTTGAGTCCATATTTGAATGACAACACAATATAGGAAAAACATCAAACGTTTAAACAAAGAAAATGCATTTAAGAAAAATCTAGCTCATTTCGAATTTGATTGCAACAGATCAGTAACATGAAGTAAAGATGGGGAGTGGTTCACCAATCGGCAAAAAAATGAATCTGCAAACTGTGGAACAATTTCAGAGTAATGGTCTTCAATTCCACAGAATGTGGAGAAATCTGTATGCGCACTGGACAAGGCTGAAAATCAAATGAAACTCAGGGAGCACTACATTTAAAACAGGCATGATCCTGTAATGGAAATCCCTCCATGGGCTCGTGAGCACTGTGAACACAGTTCACCGTGCACTCCACAAATACAGGTTAAAGCTCTATCATGCACATGATACAGAGACCCTGCTGTCTTCTCTGGGCCAAAGCTCGTTTAAAGTGGACTGAAGCAAAGGGGGAAACTGATCTGAGGGCAGATGAATCGAAATTTGAAATTCTCTTTGGAAAACTTGGACGCCAAGTCCTGTGGACTAAAGAAGAGAGGAATCATCCAGCACTCAATTCAAAAGCCTCTGATGGTACTGGGGGCAAAACGGTGCCCAACTTTTTTGGACTTTTTTGTAATTCATGTCATATTTTCTTTTAACTGTTCAGGTAACCTGGGCACAGAAGCCATGTTTCTACTGAAATCATGAAAAAATATGGTAGGGAATGCAATCCAAATGGATAAATTAGTAGAAATAAGCCAACAAACTATGTATAAATTAAATAAATAAATAAAAGTACAGTCTGAGCAATTGAAGCGGTTTAAGGCTGACAGTTTGTGTGTAACTAAGGTGGAGCTTCTTCAAACTTTAATTCATTTAATTTCCTTTCATTTGGAGTCATGTTCCTGTCCACCGGATCACTCTTGTAGGATTTAATTTCTGCTGCGTCTACGTTTGTGTAGTCCTACAACTACCAAGTGCACTTCGTTGTTTTTGGTAACTAGCATTGACAAGGTAGCGCATGTAAGAGTTCTGCTTCTACCTGATTGTTTGAAAGTCGCTGTGAGAAATGCTGTAAATCAGCAAGCACTAATGCAGTGTGCAAAACATCAATGTTTGGATTGTGCAGCTTGCAGCTTGAGTGTTTTATGGTTGTATGGGTGTGTCAGCAAATACAGAAGTTTGTAAAGACAACACTGGTCCTGAGATGCAATCCAGATATGTGACATTATCTCGACTTGATTTATACGCCTAGTCGACTTGAATCTGCGTTGAATCTAAATATGGCATAAAACAAAGCAGTGCCTTAATGGCTAAAATGCTCCACACAGCCTGGGGGAAGATGCACAGTTATGTGATAACTGAACAAATTCTCTGTAACTTCATCGTTACATTTGGCATTTTTTTCATTGCTGAATTGACAGCATTAAATAGAGACGCCTAATTGTTTAATCTGCTTGTGTGCAGTATACGTTTGAAATGCAGCAATGCCGTGGTTTCCTACTATAATGATGCCATTAGCTGAAAGAAAAAGTTCTGCACGAATATTGGCCCTGAGCCATGCCATGATTTATGAACTAGGAACAGCACTTTTAAATCTCTCCCATGACGAGTCTATATACTGTTTATTAACAGTCTGTAAAAGCCTTACATTCCTGGAAGTAATGTACTCCATTCCTTTGGCCACCTGGTAGGAAAAGCTGAGGAGATCTTCAGCATCCAAGGACAGCTCATCTATGTCATCTAGGCACACAATGCACTTCAGTTATATGCGAGAATTCCAGTTTTGATTCATTTGTAGGGAATTTTCATCCTTTGTGGAGGCATGCTATTGGTTATGCAGTGTATTGTAATTAGAAATGTAAAGAGAGAGCGACGTTGTACCTGACTCAGAGGACCTTTCTTTCTCAGAGGGACGCATGGGCATATATCCTGCACCAGTAGCCTCACTGCTAAAGAAATACACACAGATACAAACACGTAAGTAGAGAAACTAGCCACTTTCAGCTGTCATCGCCATGAATCATTCCTGCAAATACGCACCTTGTGGACTCTGTTGGGTTCGAGACATTGTGGTAGTAACCATCCCCAGCTCTGGAGTTTAGGAAGGACTCTCTTTTCCTTCTGAGGAAGTTGAGGAGGTCCCCATAGCAACAGTACTCTGTGATTACCAAAATTGGTCCTGGCAGAATACAGGGACAAAAACCAAAACAATACAAAAACGACAACCATCAGTCACTGATTTTTAAACCATGACAGCACAATGAAAATGAGAAGAAACGGCAAGCAGTTCTGACACAGTGATGAGGCTTGACAACAAGGGTGTTTAAAAGCTGATCATGTTTAAACAGAGGAAACAATGTCACTATTCCCTGTTTCTCTCACAATAAGTGCTTATGCATACATCTGTGGAAAACCCCCCCAAACTAAATTATAATCAATACTGAGGTCTAGACAGCTAAATAATATTGAACACACACACAGCAGATTTGTGGCAAGGTAAAATGAATCACGTCTTCATATCGAAGGCAGATGCTGATAATGGCCGGGTACAGCAGTGAGTCACCACATGAGGATATGGCAAATGTGTCTCCCAGACAATATTCATAATCATTAATCATGACAGTCAACAATAAAACAAGAGTGCAGATGCGTAAGGTTTATGTGCCCCCGACACGACAAAACCAATCCAAAAATATCTCACATGCAAATCTGATTCTGAGTGAACTAATTGTGCTCGTAGTGACTCCTCTCACCTCCGACGGTGCAGGCTCCCAGCAGGTTAACGATGTTAACGTGGTTTCCAAGGTAAATGAGAACCTTCAGCTCAGACATCAGCGCCTCCTTCTCCGTGGAGTGAGCGTTGGCTGAGATGACATCATCACAACATTAAAGTGGAAGACGTATAAGCACAAAATCAAAGGCTGTAAAGTGAAAGTATTCCTTTGTGACTGGCGTATTCTCATATTTAAAAGCCTAACGGCAATCAGAAATACAGAAGAAACAGTACCAGTAGTGACACTAGTGGCGGTGTAACAGTTATTTGGTTTTCAGCCCAGTGTTTTCCAATCTAACATAAATGTGGGGGATTAAAAGAATTGTAAAAAGAGAAAAAACAGCTTCATATTCGTCTCTACTCTGAAACTTGTTTATGTTGTTGTTATTGTTTGAGTGTTTGTTTTTTTCGAGTCAGAATATTTGGACAATTGGTTGGAGTGCTAAGTTATCAGCTAACCCAAGCAAGCTCTGTCAGCAAGCAGGCCCCATAGACTGTAGGGGTGAGTAGCTCGGACACACATGCCTCCTAATTAGTGTGGAGTAAAAACAGAGCCACAGTCTTCTTATACAAGCTGTACCAAGCAGCAAGCCGTAATATTTGTCATGTAATTCCTTTAAAATGCTCCAAAAGACCAAAAATGAGCGATCTAGTTTACTGATTTTAATTAGCGAAGGTTAGGACGAGCAGGCAGCTTCCATATAACTAACTTTACTTCTTGCAAGTATCAAAATGAGTTATTAAAAATAAAAAACAAAAGGCCCCACTGTATTCATTAACACAGAGTCTGTGTGCACTGACTTGCTTTCGGAGCCACTTAAGGAACTGCAATTTCTGTCACATCCAGGTTAGATTTATTTTTCATCATTTTTCATTCAATTTTAAACATGGGATTGCAGTCAAACACTTTGAATTTTGGTGTTTTCACTCTTTAAGTACAGTACTGAGTACTTTGTACCACTTTATATAATATTGTTACAACACAGAGACAGTGATGGGGAAAATATAGACTTACGTTTCAGCATCTTAACAGCGACGGTTGTCACAGCGTCTGCAGAACACAATCCGTATGCCGTGGCCCTCACTACCTTTCCAAACGCCCCAGAGCCCAGGGTCTTACCTTCAAATAAACACAAAAAACAAACTTTAACACTTCATTCATGCTCTAAAAATGATAACAGTCGCTGTACATTTGCACTCTTACACACACTGTCCTACCAAAGCGCAGTTTCTGCCTGGGGAACTCCCATTTGGATTCATATGGCAGCTGGGTGGGGTCAATATATATATGGTTGTTTCCATGGACAGTCTCGATGACCTTCCACTGAATCTGGAACTTTGGTTTCTGTTAAAGTTTGGAGGGGAGAGAAAAAGTGACGTCAGATCAGCTTCCCGGGACTGTTTGTTGTGTTCGACTGTATAGCTCATATTCCCTTTCACGTTGCTCTTTTACAAAGATGCACTTTAGTTGTCAGCCCGAGTCTAGACTTTCCCCCTGACGATCCCACTGCAGATGCGTGAGCTACTTCTCAAGGAGTCTGACTCATCTGAGAGCAATAAGCACAGCATGCTCAGGGGGGCAAATTAATGGCTGGAGGCGTGATCGCAGTGTCAAAAATCCTTTAACTACAGCATGTCTGCACTTTAAATGGTTGACTGATTCAACTGAAATTCATTAGGACACATTCATGTTGATTAAAAGAATTTACCGTCACTCTTGCGTGCAAAACATCACTGCCAAATGCAGAACGAAAGAAAGATGCTTCTAACTTTAACGTACTCTAAACACGATGGAGGCATGAGTCATTAGTAAATGAGAATGGGCCCTTTGCCAGAAACTCCCGAAGCCATTTACTTTCCTGGGATGCAAAGTGTATGTCAATGCTGCTTGATGATCCTGATTTGAGATTGATGTTTATAATCTTTGAAACTGATTCATGGGTTTGAAAGGGGCTGATGGCCAAAGAGTTTTGTGATTTACGTCAAATCTGTGACCCTACTTAAAATCACAATAATCATAAGGCATGCACAGTTTACTTCCTTTTTCCTTACCTGCAAGTACTTATAAAGCAGCACCACTAACACGAGGCTGAGTAAGACCCCAGTAGCCACCATGCCGGTTAGAAGAGGCGTGAAGAGTTTATGGGGGACCACACGCTCTGAGAATGAACACCAACAAACCCAGAGTGAGAGATCTCATGGAGCATTGAAGTAGCCAAGTTTTGACTGACACACACACACACACACACACACACACACACGGAGTGACATCCTCTACCGTTAAAACAGACAGCTGCAGCAGTGGTGTTTGTTTGTGTGACAAGGATTAGTGAGTCTGCGCCATATAATCCCAGCTTGCATAGTCAGCATACACTAATCTCATTCAATCTGTACCCAGTAACCACACACCTGGCCTGTGCAGACAAAGGGTCAATGGGTTTGTGTGTCTTTTTGAATTCGTGCACAACGTATTTGTGGCGCGCTATATAAGACAAATCCCCACCACGCAGACACTGACGCTTCACCTGTGTTACTCTCCTTGCAGCTCTATTTGCGGTCCGTACAGTGTCTTACCACTGATGGAGAACAGGGTGTAGGCCTCTGCCTCCTCTGTAGAAGCGACACACTCCAGGGTGTGGTACTGAGTGAACTCTTTGCTGACATTCAGTCGGCTTTCCACTTGACTCCTACCAAAGGTTGACTCTGAAAGGACAGTGACCTCTGAGGTCTCCCACTGGGTGGCATTGGGCAATTGTGAGCACCTGTTGAGACATTAAGGTTGCTTACGATCACTCCGTGCAAGAGCAGGTTTCAGCCTTTACAAATCAATTTATTGATTCAGTGCCTTTGGATCCACTCCAGTACGAGAGTTAGGAAAAATAAGACATACTAAACTTACAGCTCCTTACTGTAAGTGCGTTAAAAGCTTTTCCATCAATTGCTAAATTGTCTAAAACAAATTTAAAAAGATGGAAAAATTAAAGCAATTTTAAGTCTAATAGCTGTGAAACTAGAGCACAGTTCTGCATCTGAGTTACAGATGAACCAGCCAACAAACACATCAGAGGTGGTGCTGCTGATGTAGATCACCCAGTGGAAACCTGGTGCTGTTTCTGCAGCTCCTTCTAGCAATCGTCTCCATTACTTCTGTTCTAATGGAATAAAATTATCCTTTCTGTTCCTACGATCCTAAAACCTAGCCATTTATATTTGTAGCCAATTGTTGTTGTTTTCTTTTCTTTCTTTTTTTTAAATTTACATATACATATCTTCATGTGGACCTTTAATACAGCTGCTTCTCGTCAGTGGGGCCAAATCACTATTTGTATCTTAGTCGCTAACCTGAGAACGGAAATATGTGAAATATAGTGTGCATATGGTTTGTTAGGATAGGAAAAGCTTTAAAACTTTCATTAAAAGGCATAAAGTTTTAGTGCTTATTAATAAAGCACAATGTACTTGAAGGCTTGGTTAGATATTTACTTAATAATATGTTACTAATAAATCAAATTTCAAAGGCAAACTGATTTCCTGTTTCATGATCATTTCTTCAGAATTATGATTTTAATTTCAGTGGGCCTAATCCTCTTTTGTAAGATCTTGATATAAGCTGCGTTTTCGGGATACCTTGTGCGCGGCAGCTCACAGAAGTACCAGCTGATCTTAGGGACGGGGTATCCTGCAGCAATGCACCGCACTTGTCCATCAACAGGCCCTTCCTGAGCTGTAATGACAGGCTTACCTTACGGAGAAAAAAGAAAGTCGTATATGAAGCATACAGCACATGTACAAAGCATCTCCTGTTGACTCCCAGTATACTGGCTACCTGTGGTATTACTACAGAAAAGTACCAGCTGATCAAAATGAGGTTTCCTTTAACTAAAATCAATGCAGGCAAAAAGTTTGTAAAACTCTGATTTATCTAGCTACTCTTCTGCACAGATTGTTATTTCAGCTTTCAGCTACTAACTGTGTTCTAAATATACAACCCAAAGGAACAAATGTGAGAGCTACTTACTGTTGACATACACATGAAACGAGTGATCGACAGATGCGTCTTTGTGACTGGCTGAGAAGTTGTAGATCCCGCCCTCGGAGCCAAGAACCCTCACTAGTCTCAGCTTGCTGCTGTATCTGATAGAACAAGTGTATTTGTAAAATCCTTTAACCCACAGTGACAAACTAGCGTACTGGTTATTTGAAGTACTCACTTTTAACTAACTGTACCTGTATTTGTTTCGGTGGAGAGTGATGACGTGCTCTGTGGTGTTGTGGAGAATCTTCCCATTGTAAGACCAGGACATGAAGCTTGGTGCAGGATAGGCATCGAATTCAACTTTTAGGCTCAGGCTCTCTCCCTCTTTAACCTCTTCCTGGACTGGACTTTGACTTACTAACATTTTAATGAACCCCTGATCTGAAGAGCAGAAATGTGTAAGTTTAATATGTTTTATGAACAAAAAGGTTGATAACATGACACCTCTATGTAGACCTCTTATTCCGCACACATCCAGGTATGTGTGGCCTCAGAAATAACTATAACATTACTGGGGCAACTTGAAAATATATTTTTGACTATAAATACAAAGCCCCCAATTCTTACCGTAAACTTTGAGCTCCATCGCTTCGTCACTGCGGCCTCTTTCGTTGTGAGCATGGCAACGGTAAGTCCCTGAGTCTGATTGGTTAACAGCTGGGATCAAGAGTGAGGTTGAACGCTCGTAACCCAAACCCCCGGACAGGATGTGTGAGGTTTGTGTTTCAAAAGGATGCTGCAAAGTGGCAAAGAGGAGGCAAAGAAGCATGCTTTACAGGTGTAACATGACACAGATCTGTTGTTTTCTACATAATCCAGCAACTGTAGTCTTACTGTAACACACAAAGTCTGGCTGTCAGCACCTCCTCCCTATGATCAAAAGTTGAGCGACCAAGCTCAGTACACAGTGACGTCTTAGCCTTCTTAAGTTTCTTATCTAGATCAGATGTTATGACATCACCTACCAAGGAGTTAAAATGACCTATTTGTAACATTTATGCGCCTGGAACACTTCAAATAATAGTATCATTTTAATTTAATGACAGTAGCATCTCATTTATATCCACAAAGGCTCAATTTTGCATTTAGCACATCATGATGCCATCATGTTGCCTAGCAACCACCTAACAATGGGTTAAAATCACAGATCAAACAATACTGTAGCAGTGGCACATACTAGTATATAAAATGTCTATACTGGTAACTAACAAATTGTAAGTAACAACCATATACAAAGTGTGGAATTTGTGCCAAATATGAATAAAAAGCACAATGTAACTATTTGCTATTCACAAGCTGCCACCCCAGCCCCCCCTCTGGACACTCCTCTGCACGTCAAAGGTCAAACCTCCAGCAACACTTGCAGTATGAAGAGCAACTTTGTTACTTCAGCCTATACCCTTTGTCAGTGATGACGGGAACAGGCTGCTGAAATATGCTGGCAGAACCAGAAAGTTGCTCTTCATGCTTCAAATGTTGCTGGACCATCAGCCTCTTCACATGTTTGCCCTTCACCGTGCACCTTGAAAGTAGGCGAAGTTACGACCTGTTTCCAAAACTTTTACGAATTTCTCTCCTTTTTTTTTTTTTGTCTTTTTTCAAACTTATATTAAAATATTGGGTATAATTCTTCACAGAAAATATAGTTCTGCTTTTTGTTTACATGTTAAACAGCATCACAAATCTTTTGGAAACATGTTTCTTGAACGAAAAAGTCTCTAAAGCATTACTTGGGATATGAGCTCACTTTTCTCCATGTTAGCTTTGTGCAAAATGAAATCATTTCTAAAGGACGTTGCAAACTGTTTGACAAGTAGGCAGCCAAACATCCCTGACAAAGAACTGCAAATAAATCCCTGAATCATTCTCACCGCTGTTGACGGGAAGTCCCACTTGAGAATGACGTCTGCGTTGACATTGGAGGAGCTGCAGGTAAGCTCGAACTGCTCTCCTGTCCTCAAGATGACTTTGTCTTTCTGGGACAGCGTGATCACTGGGCGTAACTCTGGCACTGAATCAAGGGATTCAAAAAGCAACTGTAGCAAACTGCTGTATTTGTGAGTTCATCTAAACCAGCATCATATCATTTTTTTCACCTGTGCATTGTCACACAGACACTTCTAACAGCACGATATATGTGAGCCTGAAATCATTCTGCTGCACTGCAATAACTCTGGACTGGTATGATCTGAAATCATGAATCCCAAACGGCGGCTTTTCATCTGACCTGAAACAAAAAATGTGGTGGTTTTGTGCTAAAATGTAATAAAAATAAGTAAATTTAAACGCCATAATAAAATACCCCAATGCGGTTTGTACTGTGCAGCTTTATACTGACGTGAGCAGCATGACCAAATGCAGACACTTGTCCCCATGTAGGCAGGACGATTAATTTCCAGCATTAAATGCCTGCAGACGCCGCTTCGGTTGCTGTGTTTGTGCTGGACTAATTCTATTTAACCCAAACGCAGCCTTCATGCTCTGTTACAGAGCTTTGTTCACTGGGGGAATCAAATCCCTCGGCTCCTCCCTTCCTCAACGTACTTCTCGCTTTCTCCCTCTTCCCATCATTCAAAAGGACACCATGCCGTACTGCCCCTCAGCTGGTCCGCATAAAGAGTGCTGATGTAATGCAGAGGACAGAAGCACAAACTTAAATTGTATCTATGATTGATTTTATTTTATTAAGATGCACGTAGCTCGTAAAAATGTAATATCTCTTTGTGGCTAAAAAAGAAAGTGAACAGAAGGCTTTTGGACTGTCTATTATTAGCCATGCTAGCTGCTCTGCATTTGCCAGTGTTGGTCCGCTATCATGTTCCAGTCTTAACCAAGACTGGATGGATTTCCCATAGGATGAATGCATATTGCATCTGCTCATGCTTTGGCTTTTTACGATGCTACAATTTTGCTTATTGGTGATATTGAGCAAAATGTCAATAGCTGCCAAAGTCTAGGCAGCTATGAATTTCATAAATTAAAATCCTTCATTTTGCATCAAACCAAATTCCTGCAGAACTAATGACATGCCATTATGCTTTTAGAGGCATCAGTGAAAGCAAATGCTGTGGTTTTAACTTCCAATTACTAATTACGGGTAAAGTATGGACGTTTTTCCATTTCACCATCGCCTCGCCTGCTAGTGACTTTGCAGTTTTCCCTTTTCCTAATTCAAACAGTTCCTCTAAAGATGCTTCTGTGCTCTCAGCAGCTGCTCATAGATGGATGTTTTTGTATTTCAGGTATGAAGAGAAATATGAATGTGGCAGTAAACCCATTGTTTTCTTCCTCCACATTTAGCTTCATTAACACCCATGAAACAACTTAAACATGGTGTTCATTTAGTCACGCTGCAAAAATCAAGCTCCGATCACAATCCGGATAGATTAGGTGATAACAACAACATCTGAGTGCCAGCCCACATCAGCTGATGGCTCAGCTGGTACTCTTCCATACATCAGGCAGCTGCTGGACATCTTCCAGCTGCTCTGAATCCCACTTCCTTCCTCAGTCCTCTTGTTCAAGCTGTGTCTGACTTAATTAGGCTCCTGCCTGTTGTCACTGATGCCTGCTCTGTTCTGTAACAAGGCCTTATATTTTCTATATATGTACACTGAAGGGAATATATCACCAGTAATTAATTACTCTGGACAAAAGTGACTAATCTCTCATTAACATGAATGGTAATTTCAGGAAACACAAATAATACATATCGCTTTTTGACTTTTACTTACCGAGTCGTACTTCCAGATTGTATTTACTTGACATCACTTTGACTCCGTGAAGAAGTCCCACACATACGTAGCAGCCATCGTATTCCTTCTGAATGTTGTTGATGGTGATGCCTTCCTGAAGGTCACTCTTATAACTCATACCAGAGGGCAGAGGTCGTCCATCACAGGTCTCCAAACCCAGGTGGGTGACCTCGGGGTCAGTAACAAGGCAGGGAATGGTGCAGCTATCGCCTTCTCGCACCAGTTTGATGTTTATCATGATGTGCAGGAAAGCATTGTAGGGGTCTAGGGAGATGACAGACAGGTAAAGATTTGGATTAATGTTGTGAAGACAAACATCCAAATCCCCCCCCGTTAAACACCCACCTTTCACGTATACGTAGATAGAGCTCTGCTCCAGTGTGATGTTATTCACACATATATAGCGACCCATGTGGTTAAGCTGGGCGGCTGATAGCCTGACGAAAGCCACGTTGCCCTCCTGCACCTCTCCATCCAGCTTGCGAGACTTGTCCCTGTACCACCTTAACCTGGGCGGGGCGCCAGACGTTGTGGCATTGTCATAGCAGCGCAGCTCTAGCTTCCCCTTCTTGGGAACTACGATGTGAGGCCCACCGGGGGAGATGAGTGGCTCTGACCACACTGGTAGAGAGGAAGAACATTAAGGATGATGGATGTTGGACCTGTTGCTAATTTTGAATGGGTTCGGCTTGGATAAAAATCCACACCAGAAGGGAAAGAAATGCTGCTGCTTTCTGGTGTATTAATATAATAATAATATAATTAAATACAACCTCTGAAGAAAAAAACCCAGTGAAGACATAGCGGAGATGTTGTTCTTAATCGAAACATTTTTTCAACATATAGCCTCATTTAAAACTGCTTTCATTGCTTTTGGTACAGATTCAGCAAGGCGCTGGAAGCGTTCCTCAGAGATTCTGGTCCATGTTGAAATGATAGCATCACAGATTTGTCAGCTACACATGCATGGTATAAATTTGCTGTTCCACCAAATCCCAAAGGTGCTCTATTGGATTGCTATCTGGTGACTATGGAGGACATTTAAGTACAGTGAACAGTGAACAGTTTGAGATTGCTTTAGCTTTATAGGAGCAGCAATTAGAAGACGGGTGCACTGCTGTCATAACTATTGATACAAGGCGGGATGGATGTATGCATTCATGCTGTTTTATGTAAAATTCTGCAATCTGAATTTTGCTGCAGACATTTATACTGATCGGACCCAACAACATTTTACCAATCTTCTAATGTCAAGTTTAATTAGCCTGTGGATTGTAGCCACAGTTTCCTGTTCTTAGCTGACAGCAATGGCACCCGGCGTGGTCTTCTGCTGTAGTCCCTCTGCTTCAAGGTTTAATATCTTATGCAATCGGAGACGATCTTCTGCATACAAGAGTTCTAACAAACAGTTATGTGACTTACTGTTCCCTTAGCTCAAAGCAGTCTGGCCATTCTCATCTGACCTCTGGCATCAACAAGGCTTTCGCAGAGAAAATTCCAGTAGATCAGCAGTTTCTGAAACACTCAGACCAGACCGCCTGGCACCAACAACCACGCCAGGTCCAAATCACTTACACCGCTGTCCTTCCCCATTCTCATACTCTGTTTCAAATTAAGTAGATTGTCTCGATCGCTGCTACACGGCAAAATGCAGTGAGCTGCTGCCAAGTGATTACTTAATTAGGTATCTGCATTAACAAGCAGGTGAGCAGGTGTACAGATTAAAGCTGATGTAGATTTTATTTTTCTGATTATTCCATTCGTAGCTTGGTTTCTAAAGGGTCAGAAAATTGTGAAAATAGCTACCAGGAGTCAGAAATCCTGAAGTACATGTTGTAACAAAAAACAGCATTTTCTGTTTGTTGTGTTAGCAGACTGCCACTCCAGAGATCTAAAAATACTACCACATGAGACTAAAAAGCAAACAATTCCTCATAGCTGAAATGCTGTAAGAAAGCAGCACAGTATCCTGGCTTGACTAGGACTGAAAATATCAAAATAATTGCTGTTATTTTTCTGTTGATTGATCGTTTAAGATCAGAGTGCCCAGTGTGGTGGTTAAACAGGATGGCATGATTGACAGAGACTCCCTGAAGAGAGAGTGCTATCTAACCACGACAGCTCAATTGGAGAATCAATAATTATGAGTTATACAGCCGCTGAGTAATCATGCATCAAGGTCCCTAAACCTATTCCCTTAAGATGAGTAAACCCAGCTGACATTTTAGTTTAAGCTCCACCAGTCTTCCTCCCACTTTCTTTCTCTCCTTTTCCCCCACTTAGATTTGCACATGATAAGAGCCATTTCAAAAACAGGATTTTCATGTGACTGTTGTGCCTCCAGGCTCAAGCAGAGCTCAGAAAGCAAAAAGGAGAAGGATGTGAATCCCCCCTCCCTTCCAAAATATCCACATCTGTGTTTGCGCGGGGTGTGAGGGCATGTTTTTAATGCTGCATCTCTCAGAATATGAGTTTGGCAACCAGTGATTTGAACTATTTGAACAAGCGAACGGTTTCAGTAGTAAAAACAAAAAAACCAAACAAAACCCGAGGCAGTTATGTGACTAAACACGAAGCTTTGATCCTAACATCCAGAGCTGTTAGATGTCAAGATGCTGCGGGTGCTTTGTGGTAGAAGATGCGTATCTTTTTTTCCCTTCTTCTTCTTCTCCTCTTTCTTCTTCTTTGTTTCTTTTGCTGTTCTGGTAGGATGCTCAACCTTATCCTCTTCGTTTGGGTAGAATAAATAATTAATTCTCTTCAAACAAAACACTCAGGCACACACAGGGACACACAAACACACACACACTTGTTGCCCGCCAAAGGTATTTCCAGCGCACCACTAAACAGTTATGCATACAAATGATTTGTAGACTTAAGCTGGCGGGTTGGCAAGAGCTTTACATTTACCTTTAGCACTAAATGACTGACTTGAAACAATCCGGAAAAACAGTAAACGGACAGGAGGTTGCGCTAAACATGCGCAAAGATACACGCTGTTTTTCCTCGGCTGTTTACGTCTATACTCTAAGATATAGGCAAAAAAGACTCTTTAATGGTGACAGCAGCACATGTCGCACAGGTGGGAGACGGAATAAGACCCGAAGAAGCGCTGACTCTAAAATAATGCACGAACAAAGTACAGAAATAAATAATTTGAATTATTACCATAGGGTGAAAAGCATTAAGGATGCCGTCATAGAAATTCCACCACTATAACAGCAATAAAACGCAAGAATATCTGAAACTACCCACTCAAAGAGTTGGGAGAAAAAAAACACAACAAAGCAATAAAGTCAACACTGAGAAAAAAAAAAGATATCCACACGCCGCGCTGAAATAACATCGCAAGTGGTTTTCTTACCGGTTAGTGGCAGCAAAATAAAATACGAGGCACAAAGAGCCCAGCGGAACCTCATTGTCGGGTGATTTTCAAGTCTTTCACTCTACTCCATGCGTTTCAAGCGCAGACAAAACCATCCTGTGTCTAAAACAACGAGACCTCGTCCAGCGTGATAACGCGGCACAGGTTCCTCCAACGTAATGAGCGCACGGACACAATGATCCAGCAGCCTGGCTCCCCCTGATGGATTTCATTGGAGCTTAAAGACACAGACACAATGATCCTGCTCTGGATCATTGCCACTCCTTGCTGTCCCGCATTGGTTGGAGTCTGGCCAAGGTGATGAGTCTGTTATTACTGAAAAAAAAAAAAAACCCCATAAAAATCATCTTCACTCAGTCGTTTGGAAGAATAAGTAAATTTTCCATCAATAAAAGTCCTGGTGGCGCAGGGATACAGAGGATCAACTGTTCTGTTAAATAACGTGATTCTTTTTTATATTACAGACATTGTAATAAAGTATTATTATGGCGGCAGCCTGTCCTCACACTTCGACTGGGCCAGCGTGTCCTGTTGTGATGACAGCTCTCGCTTGGCAGGAGTTTCCCCGCAGGAGCTCTTTCAGTTTGTGATGCACTTCATAGTGTCACATTTCCCAACTCTAATCAGCATTATGGCGGTTTCACTTTTCCCAGATTTAATCAACTCTATAGCCCAGAAAGAGCCAATAAACAATCTTAATTTGGCAATGTGCAAGGTCAGGCAAACGTTTTTAACCAGAATATGACGGAGGTTGACATGGTCACTTTTCCACATTAGATCTTTAGATGCCAGTAGGAACACAGACACAGGTCTGAGTTAATGGGCGCTGTAATTATACACACTGTTTACCACCAACATCATTAGAAATAACTGATCTTTTAATGCTCGAGAACAGCAGGAATGATTACAGCAAGCATGAATTGCTTGAAGGCTCGTGTGGTCTCCTGACTATTCTAACACAGATTTATAAAATGTGACCTTATTCTTAGAAAATCTCTTTAAGTTTGTAGACATCATCAAGTGCATTCACTTCGTTTTGTTATAATCTGAGATTTGCACGATGCACCTTAAAATGTGCCTTTCTTGTGCAGAAGAAGTCTTATTGACAGATGTTCAAGTCATGGTCGTGGTTTTTGGATTTTGGCGCAGTTTCTGCTCCTGTTCTTACTCCCCATTAAGCCTCGCTTCTAGTCGCTTCCTCTCTTACTTTCTCTGTGTGCCTTTTGTAGTTTTGCTGCCTATCTTTGTCTTTTCCCCCACTTTCACACTTTCAAGCACAATTATTGGGTTTTATTGCTTCCACCTGAACAGTTTGTTCTGTGTGCGCTTTTTTTTTGGGGGGGGATGAAATTTGAGCTTTTCCTGGAATCGTGTGGTCTTCATTTTGGGTTTCATTTTAAAAAACAACGTGTAAACACAAACCCCCTAAACCCCAAAAGCATCATCTAAAACAGTGAAAGTCCTGGAAATCTTGCTCCTCACATCTGGACATTAAATGTATCTACGCTCATCATAAATAAATGTGAGTTTTTTGCGAGAACAAAGCCTAAAAGGCTAAATGAGGCTCATTTTATTCAATGGTATCACAAAACATTTAGCAGGGAATGCTGAAAAGAAATTTGCCCTTCTAATTTGTTTTTAGGGCCTCCTGGTGGCTGAGAGACCATAAATAGGTGTTTAATTTGTTTTATGCCTTTCGGCTAGCTCTGCGTGTTTAAGTGTGTGTGGTTATGTGTTGGTTTCACGTGCCTCTTAAATCAATAGATAGATACTTTATTGATCCCACAAGGGAAATTATTGAATATTATGTTTTTTTCTGTACGTGTGCGTGTTTCCTGGTGCTCAAGAGTAATATTTGAGAAGACACTGGGATTGTTTGTGTTAAATTCTTATACACATGATTATCTCTAACCTCACTGCATCTCCCTGCAGCTGTTTGTGCCTTTTATAGCACATGATGGCGGGATGAGGCTAAACAAACTGGAACAGAGGCATAACATTGCTTTTTATAGACTTTTTAAAGAAATGATTTATCTGTTTGTGTTATATGTTTCTGGAAAATGCGACTAGTGATGGTGGTATCAGTTGAATATTATTAAGGCAGAAAAATCACTGCAGGGCAAATCCATTTGGTTGTGCAGCCTTTCCTGACATGTATGAAGAAGGGCCAGAGCAGAAGACCAGCAGCAGTCATACATTTGTTGTGTCAGATGGGGTTAGGGGGTAGTTCAAATCTGGGACGATGAATGATCAGTCTGAGACCTGCAGCCTGTGGGGAGTGGGGATGGAGTGGGAGAATGGGAATGGGCAGTAGACCAGCAGCAGTCGGAAATGGATGCATTTGGTTATCTATAGTCCTGCTAATTCTAGGCTCTGTTAGAAGCTAAGCTATCCAACTGTTGGCCGGAACTTTTGATTCATTGACTAGAAACTGGAAACTGAAATCCCCTGAAATGCTGACAAAACCTTTGTTTTCGAGACGACTCCATCCAGCTGGCAGTGACGACCTTCGGTTGAATGTTCTCCACCTGTGGACAAACACAAACCTCAAGGTGCTGGTGTACAATCCACCTGTTCACCTGCCCATAGTCCAGCTGCTCATGTGCTCTGTGAAGATGTCACTGTGTGCCTGTGTGTGCGTCCATCAGGATCATCCATATGTCTACTATCCACTGTGTTCACATGTTATTTGAGCAGTTTATATGCCTTTCCCTATTTCATTATTCATTATTGAGGTGAGCATCTATAGCAGATCTGGGCTGACTCACTGTGACTTGGCGTGTATGTGTGTGTGTGTTGTGAGTGTGTATAGCCCTACAGCATGACTCACTCACTGCTTTTAGACAGATGAGGACAGCGGTCTCATTGAGGGCAGCCCAGGTTTTATACAAGAAAAATAGCCACTTAGATTAGATTACGTGATACATTCTTCTCTCTCCTCCTTCTTTCTCTTTCACCTTTCCCCCTGCCTCTCTCTCGCTCTCTCTCTCTTCTTTTAGTAACACACACACACACACACGCACACACACACCACACACACACACACACACACACACACACACACACACACACACACACACACACGTTCAGCTATCTTAGTGAGGACCTTCATTGACATAATGCTTTCCCACTAATTGTAACCCTGACACTAAAACCACATTTTGAGTCTCAAAAATGCCTTCAAACTCATGGGGATGGGCATTTTGTCCCCACAAGTATAGTAAACTTCCAATTTTTGGTCCCCACAAATATATGCAAACATGGTGCACACACACACATACACAAACACACACCTTCGCCCAAACTCAATCACCTACAAATGGAGCTATCTTCACGCCCTCAGGCAGGTGTCTATGTACACCTTTGCCTGTTGGCACAAACAGGCAAACGGGCACACACACACACACACACACACACACACACACACACACACACACACACACGCGCAGACATTTAAGCCCAAAGAATACCTCATCATTTCTCCTTCTGATGATGGACTAAAAGCTCAGTATAATCTTTTTTTCCAATGCAATCCAACACTCTTCTCTGTCTGCTGACTGGGCATTATAAACCTGATATCTGTGTCCATTTTGTTTTTACCCCCTCTGTGTGGTTGTTAAGTGTCCATCCATGGTTCAATTGTGGTGTTTTGTATATCAATTATGACCACTGAACAGATCAGACAAAAAGCTAAGTAAAAAAATAATCAAAAAGACACATTTAAGAGTATTTAAAAAACACTTTTAAGAAGAAAAAACTGTCTTAGATTTATTTTCATATAACTGATTGGATACACTGATGTATTTTACAGTTTAGATGATTTTCCTTGGTTATGACATTGAGTAAACACTATAACTATGAATAGGTAGCATCATGTTTTTAAAAAAGTATTTTGGTGGTGAATTAAGCCTTTGTTAAACTTTGTCCATCTAAATAAGTTTTGTCTCCAGAGGATGTTCACGAGGATGTTTGTGTACCCTGAATTTTATGGTCACCATATATTTGTCTGCACAGCCACTGCACTAAAATTACACACGAGTTCTCCATGCAGAGAGTAGCACAAGGCCAGGATTATACTCACTTGTTTTTGTTTTACTGCTTTCTAGTTCACATGGAGACAGCTTGGAGGAAGCATGCTCAGTGGGTGCCCTTGTAGTTAAGTGGCTGCATAAAGAAATGTGCACTGAAACACTCGTGGACCTTTTTGTACTCACTGAGACAGAAAACATGCTGCTGGGGTAATGTGAAGAACCACTTGTCCTTGGTGTGTGCAGCTGTCAGAGAGCATCTCTGCACGGCAGTACAACCCTTAAATCCTTGAATGCAATTGATATCATAGCCATATCTGTTGTGTGTGTGGAAAAATAGGAGAGGTTGTGTATTGGTCTGGACTATATACGAAGTCAGTCACTCCCAGTTTTCTGCACATACATCGTGTCTTTAATTAATGTTTGAATTTTTAGTCTGTGCATTTGTTCATTATATAGTGACTAAAATCAAAGCAATCTTGCTGTATGCATTGTGGTGCTGTGGTTCAGGAGATAGAGGTAGGCATCTACCAATCAGAAAATTGGTGGTTTGATCCCTGGTTCCTCCTTGGCCTTGGACAAGATAGTGAACTCCAAAGTGCCCACAATCCATCCATTGCAGTGCAACTTTATGCTCTGTTTGTTAGAAAGCACTAATGAATGTGGCTTGTAGTAAAAAGCACTTTGACTGCTAAGTTTGAGTAGCAAAGTTCTGTATCATTCCATCAGTGCACAGTGCACTGGTGGACAACCGTACTCTGTCTCAAAGATAGATAATGACAACATTCTAAACAACAATTAGTGCCAAATATCTTCCAAATAAATACTGGAACAATCACTAGAACTGCAGCATAGACTTCTTAGTCTTGCCTCTCTGTGCAAAATGGGTTCAAAAACATAAACAACTGTAGGATACTGTTAGTCTGTGATTTGAACTGGGGGAACAAATCGTGGCAGGAACAGCCTGATGTTATTTGTATCCCACTGTAACTTTACTGTATAAAGACCTAACATCTCCAAAATGTCAGGAGTAGTTAGTCATTACAACAAGTGTTTGTGAACTAAAAACCAAGAGCCCAGCGCGTGCTCCTGACGCAGGGAAAAACAATTATGCAGGGGAGACCTACCTTGGCACTTGTGCAGGTGAAACCAAAGGGCAGATATGCTTCACCATATTTTCTCGTCTTTGGCTTAGAATGAAGTTGGTTTGGAAACATATTCAGCTACACTGTTACAAAAAACATCTTAAAAAAA